CGAGCTGAATTCTTCCCCTGAAATAGCAGCTGTTAAAAAATGTGCCCGTAAAAATGACTCGGGCCCCCGAAACGCGGTCCACGGGGCCGCAAGCTGCCGCCTGCCACGGGTGGAGCACGGCGTCGGGCCGGAAGACCCTTCCAGAAGCAGAGCAGATATTTTTACCGGTCTTATCCCGGCTTGTCTCAGCCTCTCGTTTTTAGGAACGGCCTTTGTGCCACAGAGGAAATCGTGGGGTTTGGTGGTTTTTTTTTTTTGCTTTTGCTTTTTAAAAGCAATTACGGAAAAACGAAACCTGGGAGCTGCGGGCAGGGTGGCCCCAGCGGCCGTCTGAGGCGGCCGGGTTTGCGCTGGGCGTTCCGCTTCGCATCGGTGTCCCGGGAATTCACGGCCTCGCGGTGGTTTAAAACACCGCCTCTTAAAATCCCTCAAATTACTAGCCCTGGCTGTGTTTTAACACACCGCCTCTTAAAATCCCTCAAATTACTGCATTTGAGTTAACGGGTTACTGAATTTAACGGAACTGGTTTCATGTTGAACCTCCCCGGTGAAAGGAGACGGTGATCCTGGTTCGCCGAGCAGAGTGTTTTGGGCTCTCGTTCCTGGCTCGAATCGCCCGGGGGGGGGGGGGGGTGGGGGGGGGGAAGCGCAAAACTGCAAGTTCCCGGGGCTGAGCTCGAAACGCGGCGTGTGCCGCGACTGCCCGGCGTCGGGCGAACGCCGCGAGCGCTCCTGGGAGTAAAACGCCGGGGACGGCGAGGATTAAACAGCCCAGCTTCCCCCCGGCCGCGCCGCGTTCCCCTCCCCGCGCCGGAGGCTCGCGTGCATCTGCCTATGGATCTCCGCATTCCTCCCGGCGGCTTTTCTTCACAGCTGCTGCTAAAAATAAAGAAGGCACGCGGCCCCCCGCGCCGTGCTTTGTCGACCACGCGGCTCCGGTTTCTCCCTCGGTAAATGGGTGGGCATCGTCCTCGGGTGGGATCCGACATCGACGTCAGCTCCTCGTCGCCGTCCTGCGGGGGCTCTCCCTGCCCTTGCTGGGCTCGGGCGCGCGAGCGAGCCGAGGCTCGGTCTTTTGTGTCCCTTCCCCAGGGCCAGTCTTCCCACTTTTAACGTAAGTACGTGTACGCGCTTAACCCCCTGCGCGCTTGTCGAGGGGGGAAGGAGGCGCGAGTGGGTATTTCCCGAGGTCTTAACGAGAAAATGCTTTCCCCTGAGACGCGGGGTTCCCGGAGGAGACAAAAACCGGCCCAAGAGCGAGCAAGCCGGCGTTCCGGCGGCTAAACCGTACCTTGGTTTGCAGGACGAGCTGCCCGCGTGCGGTCAGGTTGCCGGGACCCGGTAACAAACGCCTTGACTCGTTCGCTCTGGCGTCGGGGAATAGCCCGCCGGCGGTTCAAAATGCTCTGCCCCGTAGATCCAGAGCCTTGTTTCCCTTAACTTTTGCTGGATTTTTCTGCATTTCCTACAGAAAGATTGTAAGTAAAATAGATGAAGACAAAGACGGGTTTGTAACTGTGGAAGAGCTGAAAGACTGGATTAAGTTTGCACAAAAGCGCTGGATATACGAGGATGTAGAGCGGCAGTGGAAAGGGCACGACCTCAATGAGGACGGCCTCATTTCTTGGGAGGAGTATAAAAATGCCACCTACGGCTACATCTTAGGTAGGTCTCTACTCTTGGGGTAAAAACTTTGCGGAGCCGGCGCTTGAAACTTGCTGTTTTGTTTTTGTAGAATGATTGTAGATAAGATAGACACGGATAAGGATGGGTTTGTGACGGAGGGGGAGCTGAAAGCCTGGATTAAGAAGGCCCAGAAGAAATACGTGTATGACAGTGTCGAACGCCAGTGGCAGGAGTTTGACATGAACCAAGATGGATTTATCTCCTGGGATGAGTACAGAAACGTGACATATGGCACTTACCTCGGTAAGGGGCAAGGTGTCCGGTCTGGTGGTGGTCTCTAATCAATAAAGCAGAAGCGCGGTGGAGCAGAGCGGGCAGCTCCCGACTCATCCCCCAAGCCTCGGGCTAAAAAACAAACAAAAAAAAGGTCTCCTCCGACTTTACCTTCGTTAATGAAGGAGGAATTTTCTAAGGGGGGGGGGGGGGGGAGGAGAGCAGGGGAAAAAACAAGTTGCAAGGAAAAACCCAAAGGTGAAGTTCGCGGTGGGCGCGCAGCTGCCTAACTCTGCTTTATCGATGCGCTTCCCTGTGAAAACCAGCTCAAGACTCAGTCGTGAGCGGTGGCGTGACGAAAGGCGCAGAGGGGCGACGGCTTTGTCTTATTTTTTTATTTTTTTTTTTTTGGCCGCCTGGCTTTGGGA